TAATGATCCTTATAAATCGTTCGCTTATGTCAATTTTGTTCTCACATATTCATTAGGTTACGATAACTTAGATTACTCCTTCTTCCTCTTTGAAAAAAATACGTTGATTTTCATAAAAGAAGATGAATGCTGATCTGTAGGCCCATCCGAACTTCAATCTCTGGAGTGTAAGCACAGAAACCACAAAAAAACAAACCAGTGGTTGAATACGGGAAGGCAAACGACAAAAGTTTCACCATTCGCGTTGTCCATGGTGATTCTTTACAGACTACCCAGGCAAGGCATATCAACAGACCAAGGTTCACTTCATTTCTCATGTGAACATCGATTTGTTAGACATGGAGTTGCTTGGTGTTTTTCTAGAAGCCTTGGGTATACCAGTTTGGGGAACTGGTATCATATGCCCATCGGAGAACACACTAGGTTGTCAACGGTTCCAATACTAAATGATGAATGTTTAGAACCATTCAAGACGTTAGTTAGGGCCCACAAATTCAAAGAGAATGAACATCTCTATGTTAAACATAGGCCTGTGTTTGTTCCAAACAATTTCCCACACTTTTTGATGAACTCTCCAAGCCAAACGTGTTGAGAAGCTTATTCACATGTTTGTAATAGAACATCCAACGGCTTGGTTTGATGATGGAATAGCATACATCCAACATATGCTAAACATGACAATTCCAAGAGAAAAAATGAAGGATGCTACGGACATGGCTAAAGAAAATGCCACAGCATGCACTACTAGAAAAAAGGCCTTTTACGACGCTCATTGCACGTCGTAAAACGCTCAGACGACGCGCAAATGCGGTCAAGGAAGGCCCTGTCATAAAGAGAGACGACGCGCTTTTGCGCGTCGTCTATAGACGCGCATTTACGACGCGCATTTATGACGCGCATTTACGACGCGCGGTTATGACACGCATTGCGTATCAAGGAAGGCCCTGTCATAAAGGTAGACGACACGCATTTGCGTGTCGTAACCTTACGACGCGCGTGTTTATGACACGCAATGCGTATCAAGGAAGCCCCTGTCAAGAAAGGCCATGTCATAAATGAAGATGACACACATTTTTGCGTATCATAATTTTAAATGTTCTAAAAAAATATTTATATATTTATTAATTTTTAAATTAAATTTGCATTTAATGTCTCATAATAGAAATAAAATATCATATACAAAAAATACAATCCATTGCATAAAATTTAATGTCATACAATTCTATTTTTTACAATATCTAAATTTGCATCTAATCTACTCTCTACATCAAATTCCAACTAAGTAAAGTTGCATCTTGCCTTTCATAATTCTTTAAGACTAATGCTGCAAGATTTGAATCAAGTGGCTTCATATTCCTTTCTTCCACCAACTTTACCTGATGCACAAAATACACATAAACAAAAAAAACATTGTAAAGGAAGGGGTAATTTGGGAAAATGTGAGGGGTATCCTCTGCAAAACAAAACAAAAAATATCCTTTGCAAGATTTGCTCTTTAGTATCCTCTGCAAAACAAAATAAAAAATATATATCAAAAAATTAAATTTTTTATATTTTATATTATAATTATGCCTAGAGTATTGCATACCTGAAGAACCATTTGTTAGCTCTACAACACTTTTTGAATCTGATGTTGTATCTTGATATAATAAACAAATAACTAAAAGTAGGTTGCTATTTCTTAAAAAGTAATTCAACTTTGGCATATTATAGCTTACCTTCTCTGTTGGTGGCAACTGCAATGAGTTCTTTCACGGCTATATCAGAAACAAGATAAAACTACAGAAAAAAAAATGTAGGTTAACTCAGCAAATGATAAACCAATAGTTGGTAATTTACAATCTTTCTTTCATCATACAATCTTTATTCTTTAGGTATAATGTATTTATTAATCCAACAATATTGACATTATGCATAACTTGAATTCAAATATAAATTGGACAAGATATAATGTCTTTTTTAAGCAAATAGTTCAATATGCTACCCCACTATCGTTGACTATTAAAGAAATTAGGGCCAAATCTAACAGTAGAATGTTTATGACAATTAAGGCCTCATTTGGAAGCCAACAACAGTAATACAAGCTAGAAAACAGGGAACAGGTGGTGTTTTTAAGTTATAATTTTGAATAGAAAAGGCAAAACTTCTATAACAACTACTAAAGCAACTGAAGTTAATATCATGATGCCTTCCTCAGATCCTGATGCTGATCTGGTATGCTTGCTTCCAATTTATTTTTCCCACTGCCACTGCCAAGTGTTAGCAGCTTCTCCACGTGTTCGAATACAACACAAAGCCGTTTTACATCTTGGATTATTTCCATATCACCCGGTAGCTTGTTTGTTGCCAATGCAATAAGTCAGATTAAAAAAATGACTACTTTACCCTTGTGTCAAAAAATTGTAAATAAGACATTACACATACCTTGCAAAGGCTTCAATGCAGAAACAACGGTGAAGTATAATTGGTCGATTTTTATTCTCATAAGCTAGTCTGGTTAAGAGTGTCAGCTGCAACTCTGAAAGCAGTACACACCATTTGATCCAGTAATTGATGTGGTCTTACTATTTCCAGATAATGAAGTATATGTATAGATATTGGATGATGTTAGTTTCATTGATCATGGAGGGTAAATGTGGAAAAATAAAAAAAAATGTACCTTTTTTCTTCTCTATTTGGGTCCATAAAATCATCAAACAACAAAAAGTTAGGGGAATCATCAGAGATAAAAACACCATTTTATGTAGTACCTAAAGATAAGATGTCCTTCTCCAACTGCCCAAAGAAGCTCTAACAAAAATTATACACAATTTTCAGCAAAGAAATTCATTTTATAAAGCCTAACGCAGGGTAACACAGCAGCAAAAAAGAAAGAAAACCCAATACTCAAAGATGATAATTGGATGTTAAAAGACTGAATATGACAGGAATATAAAGTGGTAAAAGACTGAAACAAATAGAAGAGATGACATGATATGAAGAAAAGAAACTTGAAAAAAAGTAGTAAAGCAATTTAGACATGTTTTCCATATTTTGAATCACTGAATGACTTACTTCCTCAATCTACAATAGTAATAGGTCAGTTAAAGGGCACACTAAATAGCAATACTTCTTTTTAAATCTAGAGAATTTATTAAACTTGTGAACATAAATTGAAACCAAATAAATGGGGAAAAGAAGAACCAAACCCCATATCCTTTTGCTGCTGACCTGGCATGTTTTCATCAGCACTAACAGAAGAATCCTTGACATTTTTATCACTAAGAGAGGGTTTTTATTTGTCCTTTTGAGCTAAAGTTCTGACAATCGTTGGAATTGGTGGTTTTCTAGTAGATTGGAGAGGATTGGATTTAGCCTTTAGGAATATATATACATATTTTATATAAAAAAATTAAGAAACCAAATAATGGGGAAAAGAGATAGTAGCTAACCTCAGAAGAATGGAGTCCTTTCAAACTAGACCACTCAATCTACTTGTCATCCTTCCAGACAAGAGTTGGCCTCACATGCCATGACCTAACAATTGATGCCTTTGATTGAGCTGGAAAGGGAAAAAAGGTAAAAACTCAACACAATTTATAAATTTTGAAGGAAAAGTCAGATAACAATACCTACCAGGAAACTGGACAGTTAAAGAAGTCAAATCAATCTTATTTGTGTCCATAACAATTGCTTCATGCCAGCTACAAAAAACAGTAAAAAAATAGAGTTTGTGATGATTAATAAGTATTAACGATTGAAAATGTAATGAGTTGAGTTAAATGGTTACCTATCTTGTACCCAAACATCAACTTGATCTCCACTACTCCAAGCATAATCTGAAAAGACTGTTATGCCCCTCTTTCTACTCCTTTCAAACTGCATGGTGGTCACATCAATATTCAATGCTCTTGTGCTCCAAGCTAATACACAGTTACCATCATTTGATAGAGAGATACAGTTCCATCATTCCGGATGTCAAATGTCCGTACAGTTCCGTCAACACTTCCAGCAATAATCTCAGTTTTTGTTAAACAGATAGACATAACGCTGTCTAGAAAGGTGTCAATGATCTGTGAATCAATTAAAACTATCATCACTTTTGATAATATAAATATATATAAAAAAAACTTAGTACAAACGTAGATGTAGAAAAGGGAAAGGGAAAGGGAAAGAAAGCTAAACCCGAATTGGCTCAGTGCTGTGAGATCTACAGTCCCAGGCACGTAAGGAACGATCATACCCTGCTGATACAACAACAGATGAATATTCATTGAACTTTACTGCATTCACCTGCACAAAAATGGTGTTATGATTGTGAAATTATAAATATGTGTTATGTGATTGATAAATTGGTTTGTTAGGGAAATTACACACCTCACTGTCGTGACCTCGAAACTTTTTGATCACACGCCCAGTCGATTGGAAGAAGGAGGTTCAATTCAAATCATACTAACTACTCATTAGAACCAGCATACACGAGTGGTAAAAGTGTAGAAGAAGGGGAGCCTTTTGGCTGAAATAAAGATTCACCATCAAATTCCTTATTATTTCCTAGTTTTTTTGTGGCTTTGATTTTTCTGTCAGTTGTGCTAGCACCAATTGTTAGAACCCATGGAGCTATATTTGTTGCAGTGCCATTGAACGGACCTGAGTTCCCTGTTGCACAACTCACAAATATTCCTTTTTGGATAGCTGCAAATGAGGCTATTGCAATGTTGTCTTGAAAAAAAGGCATGTTTTGTTCTCCAATAGAAATTGATATCACATCAGCTCCATCAGCTACCGCAACATCAAGCCCGGTTAAGATGTCACTCTCTGGCCAATCTAGACCAAAACATACTTTATAAACCGCCAGATGAGCATAAGGTGCCATCCCGACGGCTAATATTTCACTCTCTGGGCAATCTGGACAAAAAAGTAGACCATCGGTTCATTTTTTGTAATGGAAGTTTCGTTTGAGCAATTCAACGAACAGTTGGCATGCATTGTTCGAACAAAAAAATTCAAAAAAATATAACAGGTGATAGTTACACCAAATCATCCACCATGGTTGACTAATCGATAGACCGACTCTCTATCTCAATTTAGTGGTAATTACAAGGAGAGTGAAATAAAAAGGAAAGGGGGGAAGTGGTAGCATAGGAAAGAAAAAAGTTCAGAACTTTAAAATCATGTCTACGTACCTTCAAAATTGAAGCCAAAAAACTCAAAACTGTTGATTCGTGGCTGGAATCGTTGTTGTGGTGCGATGTTGGAATGGTGGAGTCCGAGAGAAAACACAAATTATGATGGGTAGCTATCGTTGTTGGTAATGCATGATTCATCAAAAGCCCTAGTTCTTCGGTCAATCGTCTATTTTGTGAAAGAAGATATTACCATTGCAAATGCGTTATGTCTGATTAGGGTTTGCATAGAGAAGGAGTGAAAGTCGATCGTAGAGGAAGGGGTTTGTAGAGAGAAGGAAGGGAGAGAATGAAATCGATATGGCGGGTGTAGAGAGTACAGAGGAAGAGGAAGGCGGATGTTCAAAATTTTGGGGAAGGAGAGACGAGAAGGTTGAGGTTTTGATTAGGGGTTGTTCAACAGGTAGCTTCGATTGACGGTTGATGAGTCGTAGTTGTCGATCAGCGCTACAATCGAAAGGAGTTGCAGTCACTGAACCATTTAACGCGAGGATCGGGTTTGAGACTAGAAGAGGCAACGAGGATTGGAGGCAATGGATGTGGGTGAGGGTGGAGACGAGGGAGAAGAAGGCGGGGGTTTAAAAAATTTGGGGATTTCATTTTCCCTCTAAGGAGAAGTGAGAAGCGCGTTTCTTAAAAAAATATAAAACGACATTCATAGACGACGCACCTTTTAGCTAAAGTGCCCTCCGTGTTTTTTATTTTTTTACATTAGACACTAATTTAAGGGCACGCAATAATGCGCGACCTAAATCCTTAAATTTTTTGAAGAGATGACACTTATTTAACGTTACTCTCTTTTGCGTAACTTATATCTCCGAGTGTCGTTGTTTGCGCGTCGTAAAAGGGTCTTTTTCTTGTAGTGATATGTTCGGGTGTTTCAGGCACATCTTCTTCTTTGGAAGATTGCGTTAGAATAACTAACTGTCTCTTCTTTGTATTCTTCTTTTTCTTTGAAATCCTCTTGGCCATATCTTCAGCTCTTCGTTTCTTTGAGAGAGGAGAAAATGGAGCTGGGACTTTGCGCATAATAACCCCTTGATGAGTAACATGAGGTTTGCGAACCACACTCGAAGTTAGAGAACCGCCATACATCAGCTTCAATCTTTGAAAAAATCCAGGCTTGGAAGGAATTGTAACTGAAGTTGGTTCTGAAACAATAGGTTTAATGGGTACAATTGGCTTTACCACAACTTTCGAAACATGCTCATTTGGCTTCGTGGTGTTCTTAGGAGACTTTGATTTCTTCGTTTTTTGAACAGTTGGCTCAAGATTTATGATCACAGTCTTCTTCGTTGTCCTGTATTTATTTGAAGGACCTGCATCTTCTTCTGTTAAAAACTTCATGGTTTCAACTTTGGGATCAATTGTTGTCACATATTCGATAAGCACAACATTCGTCGAATCAACTCTTTTCGACATTGCATCAAGAATGTGTGCAACATGTGAGAAAATTGCAGCATCATCTAAAACTTCCTTTAAAAATGATATTTCATAAACTTAGCAGTTTCCTCTTCATCTGATACTTGAATCCCTTCTTTATCATAGAAATACCTCAAAATAAGACTCCAATATCGTGCACATGAAATTCCTTGCACGACATTAGTGTTTTCGAAACTCTTCTGAAACTCCTTCCATAATTGTGTAGAGTAGTTAACTAGAATATCATAATATATCCCTAAAACCATAGCAGAAACCTCCTTTTCTTCCTTTTTCAAGACCCATACTACAACCAATCAAGCGACGTAAAAACATTCCAAAAAGAAAGTTCCAGACTTTCGGAAGACCGGACTTCTTAAAATCACTTATCTTGGTGAGTGGGGGTTGATGACCCATCTCATTGAACATATGATTCACTTGTGAAAACGAAAGAGTAGTGAATGGTGGTGCATTTGGAATTTCCAGAATTTGACAAAATAACATATTCATTAATCTAAACTTCTTATCATTTACCAAATTAAAGGTCATAACATCTAGGGCTTAGCTGTAAGTTGCAGTTGATCCTGCTATTGAGATCCAGGAAAGAGGAACAACAACATAATTAAACATCACTGTAGAAAGAATAGAAATCTTTAGAGAAACCACCAACATCTTCAAATCATCGTGGTAAAGAGATACATCTGCTTCAACGTGATAGTTGGTTCCGTGTATCTTGATGATTGGTTGAGATGTAAAATCTTCTATGGTTTGTGATGGTGCATTAACATTAGTTTGAGCAGCCATGAGTGGGGTTTTGGAATTTTTTGAAGAACAATTCAATTTTGTAGAGAAAATTTAGGAAATTTTCTTTTGAAAGTGTAAATTGATAAAGAACTCTTTAATCACCTTTTATATGTATCCATGAGGTTTGAATTTGAAGCGGGATATGCATTTAATGAAATCTATCGTGGCACCTTAAAACTCGCACCACTATTCCGATAAAGTAGCCACGCATGAAAAAGTAACTATCACTTCTCCTTGAAAACCGGATAGAATACAAGACGTCACTTCTAACAGCATATTTATTAATCCCAATGGAATATGAACCGTCAGCAACCTTCGGATGGAGGCTAGGCACTTTCACTTTTGGGATTTAAAGCGAAGTCATGTGCCAGACTTTCGAAATCATCAGTCTAAGTTGGTATTACTCAGAACCTCAAGGATTTTGTGAGTGCAGTGTGCCAAAGAAAAAGATAAGAATCAAACAAAGATAAACTTTGGATTTGTGATGTCAAAAACATTTTGACATGAAAGTAGTTAAACTCCAGTCAAAAGTTATTTCGTTAATTATCAAGAGAGATAATCAACTACTTGTATATTTTCCCGTGAATTACAATCGAAAACTTATTGAGAAGTTTTGAAGGGCTTCTTTTTCAAGGCTTCATGGGTGGATACACGATTTCGTTACATATCATCCAAAACATAATGTGATAAATTGTAACAGAACTCACTTGTTTGACCAGTGTAGTCAGTGACAAGTATGCTTTGAATTAAATTTGAAAGTGAATTAGAAATCAAATGAAACTCTCATGGAAATCATATTCATGGAAAATTTTGTGGTGGATCCTGTTGGGTAACAAACATTGTGGGTTTCGATAGTTTGATCAAGATCACTCATACGAAATGAATATGATTTGGAGTTTCGAATCTAGGTACAGAAAAAAAAAAGTTTCGTTAAAAACTGGAACAAAGTTCCCTATCAATTCCTTAAAATCTAGAGAATTAGGTTTTACTTTCATCACAGTCTCATGATGTCAGATCATAAACACAGCTTTTTTATATGTCTAAGTCTCGATCGGTTTAATCAAAGACCTCTTGGATATATGTCTTCGTGTGTGATCGTGTAAGAATGTTTAAATGAAAAATATTGGTTTAAGCATTCGTGTGTACCTCTGTTATTATGGACAAAACAGTAAACTCTTAACTCATGTGAGAAGAGTCAGGTGGCTCATGTGAGTAATGTGAATATAAGCATGTCTTGGGAAGAAATTTCCGTATGAAATATTTCATTAAGACTTTCGTTAAACACACATAGAGTCATTCGAGGCTTTGGTCAACATGATGCAACATGCTTCTAGGGACACCTTAAGTAGTTCAAGAGTTTCGAAATATTTACCTAGCCCTAGAACTGCAAGCATTAACTATTGAGATTCATATTTGTTATCTGAAACAAAACACTGAGACAAAACAATACAAAACACAATATTTTTTTGATTTTTGATTTTTCGAAAATAAAATAGAAAACAAATAAAAATCTTTTTGTTGTTTTAGAATTTTTCGAAAAGAAATGACAAAACAAATGAAAAATCTTTTGTTGTTTTTGAATTTTTCGAAAAGAAAAGACAAAACAAATGAAAAATCTTTTTGTTGTTTTTGAATTTTTCGAAAAGAAAATCAACTTACTAAAATATTTAAAATGTACCAAACACACAAATTTTTCAGCTCCAATTTACGAAGACGAAGGGTATCGAAGCGTTGACTATGAACAGTAACCTTTGACTCTAACAACTTTTCAGACATCGCTACTCTTTCGAACCAGAGCCCCCTTCGACCATTCCAAGTCCACCTAAAATTCTCATAAATGATTTTTCATCTAACACTTTTGTGAAAATATCATCCAATTGATAAGTGGTTTTCACAAAATGCACTTCAATATTACCATCCTCTACATGATCTTTTATGAAATTGTAACAAAGAGTAATATGCTTAGTCTTCGAATGTTGCACAAGATTATGAAAAATACGAATTGCACTTTAAGAATCACAATATAATGGAATTCTCTTCATGTTTATTACATAATTATGCAATTGACTTTGAATCCAAATTATTTGTGATGTGCAAGCAGCAACAACAATATATTCTGCTTCAGCAATCGAAATTGAAACACATGTTTGCTTCTTCGATTGCCAGCTCACCAATTTTCCATCAAGTAATTAACATCCTCCACTCATGCTTTTTCGATCAAGATTGCAACCTCCCAAATTAGCATCTGAGAAAGCTTGAATAAAGAAACCTGTTTTCGAAGTATACCATAATCCTAGTGAAATTGAGCCTTTGAGATAACGAAAAATATTCTTGACTACAGTAAGCTGTGGTTCTCATGGATTTGATTGGTACCTAGCACAATTACACACAAAAAACATGATATCAGGTCTACTTATTGTGAGATAAAGTAACGAACTTATCATGCTTCGATAAAGAGTTAAGTCAA